GCCGGTATTGCCCACGGACGCGCGACAAGCTTTTGTGGCCCAAACGAGATTACTGGAGTAAGACAGCAGTGCCCGAAGAGCATCTGGTGTTACATAGAGTTACTGTATATGCTACCTTTAGGTAGGAGAGTTGCGCATGCGTCTTCCTTGCACCGATATACGGCGAGCACTGTCACGTGGTGCAAAATGACGTCAAACGTTCCAATTCACGTGGCGTAGCCAACTTTACATGCACGAACTCGCGGCGTCCGTGCGTTCTCTGTCCTCGCCTATTTCAGTCTCATCATGACCGCCATTAGGGACTTCAAGTTTGTACGTATACTTCTTTACGTTATCGTGTTACCAGATACAATATGCGCTAGCGAAGGTCTTCATAGAACGTAAACCTATACGTAACATGAACTACCCACCGCAGAGGCTTTGCGTTTGCGGGGCTATCTCGTAAATCCACCTTCATTCGTAGAACACGTGATATCCGCATTGCGAAGGCTCCAGACATCGAGTAAAAAATTGGGGGACCCTTCAGCGTCACCTTTAAGAGTTGAATGCGATGGCGAAATCCGGCCCCGAGTGCGTCCTTTAAACACTAAGTGCATACTTATTAATATATTTTGTTACACAAACACGCACGCCACAGTAGATTGTACCAGCGCGCGCAGGAGCGCGAATGGAACATACAGGTTTTTGATCTAAAGCAAGAGTGGCATGTCCTTCAAGATACACGCCGCGCGCTCGCCATGAAGAGTGTACAATGCCTCACAGATGGCAGCACATTATCTAGCGCTTGCTGTTTGCTTGATCAATGCCTCTGGAAGGGCATGCTATGTTTTTCCCTAGATGGACATAGTTGTCCTTTTTTATAGCTGTTTGAAAGTTCCTGTGTCTATTTAGCGGCCATGACTGCAGTATACTCTGGCCTTTTTCGACGTAGTTTTATAGCCTCACAAATGCACCTACAAATCGACGAATTCGCTCGTTTTCAATGTGACAACTGTCGAACAAAATAAGTTAAGGAGACTCCTTCCACTATATGGCATTTACAGAGTGTTTTTTTTTTTTTTTTGCCTTTAGCAACTGCAAGTAACATCGTGGCTCCGTGGTAGGACACCTGCTTGCCACGGGAACGGCCCTTATTTCGATCATCAATAGGACCGAAAATTTTATTCTTTATATCATTTGCCTGTTTCTCTAATTCTCGCTCTAGTCGATTTTTCGCTCACAACCAGCGGTGCCGACACCAAGAGTGGCATTTCGGTGACACGAGCTCTCAAAAGCTATCGCGTTAAAATAAGCAGAGGTGTGAGTGCTGACTACGTTGTTTACGCCTGATTACCAAAGCTAGAATGGGTAGAACATTGAAGCCGCAAACGTGAGAGCCCTCGATAGACTGCATAGGTGGCGCCATCAAGTGGGGTCAAAATGAAGCAATTAATCACAAAATTGTTATCGCAGAAACATTGTGTATAGAATGTCTGGTGTAAACACCATGCAGAGGCCTTATTACGGATGAGTTACGTTTTTAATCATTTTCACCTCATTTAAGTAATTGTTGACTTTAACGTCCCTAAACACCATAATACAATGAGAGACGCCGTATAGTGCAATTTTCACCACTTGGGGTTCTTTGACGTGCATCTAAATTTCAGCTCACGAGCCTCAAGCATTTTCGCTACCTACAGCAACGTGGCACCTCTGTCCAACAGTGCAATCTTGCTTCATGCGTGTGAATAAGTCGGCGCCACGCCGCTCGAGTCGGAACATGGCGCCGTATTTTTCTCCTGCGCGCGCTACGAGTGCCTAAAGGGAGCATATACATTAACTCTACCTCAGTGCACACTAACAAGTCTGAACACTTTCTAAAGCTTAAGTGGCGTAAACCAAGCGTTACCGATGACGTAGAAATACTTCACAGCCCACCTGGCCATTGACTCTGTGCGGCAGTGTTGCTGCTTCGCAGGTACACAACAAATCTCTAGATATCTTTTTTTCCCCTTCGATCTATTCTTTGCAAAGTACGGGCAACTACTGAAGCAAGGCCGACAAATCTCATTGACGGTTGTCTTCGGTGGTTTGTTACTTCTAATGCTATTCCAGCATCTGGTGAAACTCCGCTATAACTCTGCCCCAGCTCACTATTGAGGGGGGATTAGCGTTGGGTAAAGCCGCGTCACGCTTGGTATATTGTACATTGAAATTTGCGTGGCTAATCTAGTTACACCTGCGCAGCTTCGTAAGTCTTCCCAGTTGGAAAGAAGATAATGGCAGATGTCAGCTGTGCGTGAGACGGGTTCGGTCTCCACGTGGGTGATTCTAGCAGGTGACGTCAAGTGCATGCCCCCTGTATTACTGACCATCTCTGATGAATAAATATGGCGCACACTTCTTACCTACTGACTGGCTTTCAAAGATCGGGTCAGTCAACAGTCATATGCTAAGGATTGGGGCGTCTATTTCTCCTCTGGATTTTTCGCGTGTTTAATATCTAATGAGGTCCTAACATTCACGCTGCTCTATTTCTAACCACGCCGACCAATTGACCATTTGCGGGAAAACTACTACACATGAGCAGTAACGGCACAGGTAGCGCTCTCTGCAGGCGCCTTGCTGTTGGTTGGAATACATCAGTCCGGCCGGCCACCGGTCATACATTCGTGTGCTGGAGGGGCCTTGCTTTCCTAATTAGGGCAAACAAGGCGGCACACTGCACGATTTTTTTTTTTTGCCGAGATCGATGCGTGAAGAATCGGGCATGATAGTTCGTGTTTAAGTGCGAGAAAACCCTACCAAACCTAACGGTCACTGTGTGTGTGATTTGCTGTGCCTTCATTGTCCTTTTAGTTTTCGCTGGTTTTTCTTGCAGCGAAACCGAGAAATGAGCGCTAAATTTCACAGGCTCTCGTTCGTGAGGTACGTGCAGAAAACAGTTGCTCGGGTAACGGCATATGAAATGTTGGCGCAGCCTTCATTGAAAGACAGGAGTGAAGCGAATGCGGCTCGCCGTAGGTGCCGAACCAGCGCTGGCTGAATGAACACTTTCAGATCTCTTTAGTCTACCACGGCAGCAAATGAGTCTCACGTATATCAGCATTTTTAATAGGCCTCACAATACTTCCGTTAATACGCGAGGAAGCATTCTCACGTATCTGCACGAACCATGACTGATAGAAGCACCGGTAGTTTAATAATAACAATAGTGACAGCTGCATTCGTAGTTCTTTAGGTATTTTAGGAGAAGATTCTTATGTGAAGAAATCGAATGTACCATATTAGCAAAATGCACATTCATTTACATCGCCATATGACAGTTTTGGGAATTTAACTAGAGATCTTATATCAGAGTGTACTACAGAAACGCTCTACCGATATATATAAAAAAATATCTATCCCGGTAACACAGTCGCAGTGTGTTTCAACGATGTGACCCGTAATAACGGCAAACACTGCCATTCTTACGCTAACAGCGCACCTCATAGAAGGTGCACAAGCCGCCCTCATCGAACTTAGTTCAACGTCAGATGTTTGAAAGGTCAACTGCAAGTTAAGGAGCAGGTGCGACGAGCATGGCGAAAAGTCGAGGTTGCGGAGTGCGGGTACCGCCTCACTTGGTTGTCACTCACGCTGAAACGCGAGAAATCCTTGTTTTACACTGTTTATACAGACTTAAACAGAATGTTTCCCTTTTTTTATAATTTCCTTTCAATAATTTCACGCGTTTTTGGCCCTATAGCAACGAAACAAGCGCACCTGAATCGCTAAACTCTGGCTTGAGCAGGCTGGCTCGCGATTTTTTTTTTTTCTCAACTAAGAGCACGAGAGAAGCTTTCGTTTCTACACGACAGCGGGCGCTCACTTTTCCGCAAATGGTCAATTGACCATTTGTGGAAAAGCTTCTGCGCATGCGCGGTAACGGCGCAGCTGGCGCCCTCTAAGGGCGCTTTGGTTTTGGTTGGGAAACACGAGCCGGGCCGGCCGTCACTCGTGCATCTCTGTGCCGTCACTGAACTAAGTCGCCTCGCTTTAGCAGCGTACAGAAATGCCAGCACACTGTGTGGCCTACGGCTGCACGAATTATTTTCCTCAGAAAGGAAGCACGCATTTCTACAGGTTCCCGTCCGCGAGGCTACGTGCCGAAAAGAGAGATGCTTGGGTAGCTGCTGTGAGGAGACAGAATGCCGACGGTTCGCCGTGGGCGCCCAACAAACATTCTCGGATCTGCAGCGCGCATTTCATAACAGGTACGGTAATTTTAAGTGCTTATAACTTGGTTTGTGCAATCAGAAATCACGTTTACTGCAGGACGGCCGTCAAAGTTCAAGAACCATCCTGACTTTGTCCCCAGTGTGTTCACCTACGTGAGAAGTCGCGGCGATGCTGCTGTGCGTCGCCATGCCGATGGTGGAAGCAATGAGCCTGGCGAACGGTCGAAGTAGCGGAGTGTAGGTACCGCCACACGTCGTCGTTGCTCAGGCTGCAACGCGAAAAATCCTCGCTCCATCCCGCTTCCACAAACGCAAACGGGATGTTTTCTTCTTCTATCATGTTTTTTCCGTAAGCAGCGCACGTTTCCGGCAAAGAAACAACACTAAATCAATAAAACAAGCGCACGCGAGCCGCCGAACGCTGCCTAGCACATGTTAGTTCACGAATGCCTTTCCAACCAAAAGCGCGAGCGCTGCTGTTTAGACGGCAGGTGGCGCTCGCTTTTCCGCAAATGGTCAATTGGAGCGCTCGAAATACCCACTTTGAAAGAAGTATACTATGCTTCCAAGGACTTGCCTACTCTGTCCCACGTATCATATGCGATTCATTATACACTTACGACAAAAATGTAATACCAACCCGAAATCATAGCGCTGCGTAGCAGAGGCCCACGAAATAAAAATACGTCTTCATTGCGAAGCAGTTTATTCAAACTTTGTTAACTGCATAATAAATGTACAATGCGTGAGGCGACAACAACCACAATAGTTCACCACAGCGTTGACTATAAAAATGTTCACCTTTGTGTTCTCTTCCCGTCAGAGACAAGTAAATCACACCGCCTCCGTCAGCAGCGACTGGATAGCCGTGAGCACCATCTTGATGGTGTGCGCGGGGCTCCACGTGCAAGGTGTCCGTGGTGCCCAGAATGTCTAGACACACCTTGCCGCTTGCGCACAAATTGGGGCCGAGGCTTGCACCATGAGTGTTCAGGAGGCGAACACGTGGCGACCGTGTCGGGAAGTTCGGGGGGCACTGTAGCAGAAACAGTAACAAGCGGCCCTCGTACGTCGTGCCTGAGGGGCCCACCATAGCCACGTGGAACCGGCTGATATCTTTAGCCTCGATGAGAACACCCGGGAGTGGATTATGGAAGAGGTCCAGCATGTCGTCCTGGATGCGCAACAGGCACTGCGCCGACGCCCCTTCATGCTCGAAGCAGGTCGGGTCCCAGTCGTTCTGGACGAGCTCGGACGCGTTGTCGATCACCGTGCTGCTGGCTATGGTCTGCGCAGTGTTGGGATCTTCTTCGACTGGTGTGGCCTCGGTCTCGTCGTCGGTGTCACTGCTGTCCCCGGCGTTATCTATCCAGGGTGCGATCTCTTCAATCAGGGGGTCCTCGATGTCGTCCTCTGGCAAATCGGTGGCGGGAATGTTCAGCTTCATCTCGTAGAAGGTGGCACGTTTGGGCTCTCACGGGATACTTTTAAGTAGCGTTCCCGCTCACGGCTCACGCGTCTATGGTGACAGATGAGAAAAAGAGGCAGAAAGACCAGCGGCGATATTAGAGAGGCTCCTATATCTACAACCTGAGAGAAAGAGATGGAGGAAGAAAGAGAGAAAGAGGGCAGGGGAAACAGCAGCGAACTTGCAAATAAAAAGAAAGCTATGTGGTGGGTGGCGGAGCTTGCTCGTGTGTACCCCTCCGCACAACAAGGCGGGAAGGGTGATGGGTGGGAAAGGGGGTTAGCTACTTCTTCATAAAGTGTCGAAAGAATGCAGATTTCTGCTGCCAAGCTTTGGCTGACACTCGGAAAAGAGCGAATCATTGTCTCGACAATACCGGTTTCGAGAACCCCTTCCTTCTACAGTAACAGATGTTGTGGGGTCGTAAATCATGGTATGCACAGATAGCCACAGTAAAATGGTCGGTGCACTATTCGACGAGAACATCAAAACACGATAGGGCTATTTCGCCACTGGCACGTGAATACCACCGACTCAGTTACTTTTCCAAAGGGTTAACGAGGAGTCGCTTGAGGGCCAAAGCAACCAATATAGGGACAACATGGGAGGCAGCTTGTAAAAGCCCCGTGTACATGGACGCGACGGGGGCGGGCTTAGTTGAGTGGCGGGTTCAGCTTACCTCGATGCGCCCGAGTTTATATGAACTCGCACGGACGAGTTGAGGTGAGCGGTGATCGCAGCGACGCTTTTCGTCGAGGCGAGCCGAAAGCCCGTCTTCAGGTACCGGTTTTGCTCCTCCAAGCCTGCGCTCTCGCCGCTGGGGGCTGCGGTTGTTTACGCAGTTGTCGCTCCGCCACCGCGATGGCTGTCTTGGTATTTTTCCTCAGTTTGCACCAGCTGTACTTTATGGTTGTGTTGGTGTCTTGGCTAACACTGCACAACGCCATGGCAGCAGTGGTTCTGTTGCGGCACAGCGCTCGCCGCAGGCGTATCCGCAGCCTGATGCACCGTCCTCTGTTCACCCCTGGCTGGTCTCTCCAGGAATTCGCCGTAACGAATATAAATAATATTTTCTCGCATAAAACGAAGATTTGTATTAAACTTACAGAAATAAATATTGTTTCTGCACCCTTTGAAATGATCCAAAGTGTATATTTTTTATATGGAGCGCCACACAGACCGATAAGTGCCTGAACATGAACAATATTGCAAATTTTTCAAAGTTCATGTGCCAGCGCTTCCAAACTACTGTCTTCGCGACTCGTGTGTTTCCCCCACTTACCGTCAACAATGTAAGCAAGCTATGCAGCTGCGTTGTCTCTGGAAAAGTTGAAAAAGCTGTAAAAATTTCTGACTTTGGTCAAGAACACTGCATTGCTTCCCCACAAAGCACATTAACATACACTAGTGGTACATCGTTTTAACAAGGAAATGCGGTTCTTTTCCTACCGACTGGAATCGTTTTACCGTGCTGCGTATATTTCACTTTTTCGAAGTTTCGTCGCAACCTAACTGCCACCATATTAGGAAATTAAAATTTTCTTTAGAAAATCGGTTCAAAAAATGAATAGTGTAGTAAAGTGACCAACCATTACTTGTAACCATTACTTGTAATCGTAGATGGTCTAGCGTACTTTCTGGGATATTTGGCGTGGAACGACCCTCATCTCCTCCAAAACCCGAACACTAAACCCGAAAAAACATTCGAAATGCCTAAGTTCATTCAGGGATTCATGAAACACGAATTAAAAGAGAGTGAAACCAACCCTGGACTACGCTTTTCCTCTGGGGGAAATTACATGTATTGGTAAAGGCACTTAATTTTGTGATAAAGTCAATTTACACCACTTGCAAAAAACCGAAAACAAAACTTACAAAGAATAAAATACCCGAAAGTATTTGCCTTTTCATAGTCGAACCTGGCTGTGAAGAACGCAACATAAATGCAAGCGGAGTTGGAATGCTGCGCATTAGTAGACAATTCTGTGAATTTACGCAAATGTATTCTGATGGCGAGGTGACCAGAAACTTTATTAAAACGTTCATGTGCACGTATTTGAGATTTCTGGCGCACAAGCCGATTTCCTGCTACGGGCAGAGCAAAATAGCCGGTCGTGAGAACGATAACCAACAAGCTCTCGTAGGACGTGCCAAGCAAGATATAAACGTAAAAGTGATCTGCATTTACCGCATAACAGAACGATGTCCTCCGCGCGTACCGGCCGACAGAGAAAGAGCAACGTCGGAGTGATGGGGACAGGGGAAGCAGAGACGGCGACGGGCAGGAGAGGTCACGAGCCGTCAACTCAGCGCGACCGGTTATACATGCCCTTTCTGAGCGCGGCGAGTTCGGTGAACCTACCCCCTGTCTCCGGGTCGACGGGACTCGCCGCGACGACTCTCCGCCCGGACGCGCCCGCTTATACATGGGGAGGGCGAGTCCAGAAAACCTGTTTTTTTTTTTCGACTCAACGCGCCCTCGTCGGGTCAATGTACACGGGCCTTAGTATTGTGCTGGCTTCACCCTTTCACAACATTCTTGTTCTTTTGAAACCATACCATGTTTATTCTTTATAGCTCGCTTTTCGTTGACCTGTTCATGAATAATAACACTGTGTGTGTGCATGCACACGTTTTCTCAAAGTGCAACTGCTCGGTGACAAAGTTCTTGGTTTTTGTCAAAAGATTTGGAACCTGGGTGACGTCGGGTGATTTGAAAACGCGTACACTTACAATAAAACGTGAATCCTTTGGACATGCTCGCAGTAATTATTACGGAATAGAATTCAATCGAAAAAACGATTAGACCTATGTGTCACCTTGTGACTTATATAGTTTGATTTTCCGTGGCTAAACCTCTGAAGGACTAAAAGTTACGAAAAGGATCAGTGAGAGCCGCCTTCTGTAGCACACGAAGGTGTTTTTTTTTTTTTGGTTGTTGTTGTTCTATTGGACTCTGGTTATCCCACTACGAAATGAGATCCCTCAAACTGGTGGTATTCCAAAGACCTAATTTGGGTGTAGCACATACTTATTGTATATTGACGTCCCCGTGGCGGCTATGTCTGGGTACCTGCTGGTTAGGACGCCACATTCTCTCTAATTTCAACACCCGTAGCAAGGAAGTGGGACATGTGACTAGTATTGGTGGCCTTCGCATTATTCCTTTGTTTTCACCTTCGATGTGGCTGGCGAAAATAAAGTAGGGGGAGAACAAGAGAATGCGCGCGGACCGAACCACAGCGTGCCCTCACCCTGCACTGACCCCTCTAATGAGATGGAAAGCCACGGTGACGACCATGTCTCGGTGCTCAGTAATCTGAGCACCAAGAATTAGTCATTGACCTGAGGTGAACGCAATGTATACTGCAGTGGCACACTCGTTTTTAGTTGCATACAGATACTAGTGCACCAGCTATTTCCTCGCATCACAAGAAATTATTTGTCGGCATCATTTCGTGCGAATCACTGAGTCATCTTCAGTCGAGCAGTGGCTCTTTGCTGTGATCCCGCTCAAGTGAACGGTGAATGCTGTCGAAAGTGGTTTCGAGCATTTCATACGTGCTTCAGATATTCCAGTGCTTGACTATGGTTATGAATCACTTCACCGCCTCCCGATAGTGCAATGATGAAACGTACACCTCGTACGTTGAGGAAGCAACGCACGTCTTCGAGAGCCTGCGACCACATAAAACCGATGTCTACAAAATCGAGTGGCAAAGGTGACGCTCGCAGGGCACACCTTGATGAACAACATATACGCAAAGCTGGACAAGTTCGGCATTGTAGTCTTGGAGCCCAATGCATAAACGGCTTTTTGTAGAATCCTGGCCCGTCCAGGAGACAGCCCGCAACCTAACTGGTTTACAGGGATACCACCAACGGACAGCCTGTAATAAACGGAGTTTTACACATCATGGACAATAGAAGTGACTCCATGGCAAAAAAAAATCCTTTAAAAAAAGGAAATGCGAGTTAGGTACAAAAACATGAAATTCTTTCTTACGAAAAAAAAAGTTTCTATTTTTTTTTCTTGCTACCTTGGTTGGTCCAATTTCTCGCTAACTTCTGTACGGCTGTCAAACGAACGCTACAGCTAACCACGGAGACAGCTACGCGGTAGACATAACCAAAATCAGTCTGATAAACGTGCTTATCGCAAACCAGGGACTCATCCAGAATTTGTTTCGGGGGGAGGGGGGGGGGAGAGGGCATCTCTTTTTTAGCTATTTGCTGCTATGTATGCCATGACGAAACAACATTTCAGGGGAGGGGTGGTGGGAAGGGGCGCTGTGCCACTTCCTGGCTACGTCACGGTCGCAAATGGGTCATACCACGAGAAATCGACATGAATCCAAAAAATTAACATTTCAGGTTTGAGTGAGAATTTTATATTTTATGCGTATGGCGCCCAGTAGCCCGAAATCTAACGCGATGTTCTTTTTACCTGCATAATTTACAATGCAAAAAATATCAAACATACTAAACACCGAAGAATTAACTTCATCATTAGGCGTCATAGAAAGTTTATAGTGCTGTAGGTCTAACACACAAATATTACTGTTAAGAGGAAAATATGTTGTGTATGAAATATATGCACATCAGAAAGCGCAGGGTCGTTGTTTGAAACTTGTAGAGCAAAGAACATTGTGTTTGAAAAAAATGTCTAAATATGTCAGATCTTTTTCCAGTTGCTGCAAAAATAGTTGCTACAAAGTGTATAGGAATTAGCAACTTTGTTTTAGGAGCGAAGCTCCTTAAGGCGTGGGCTTTGCGTCCCCTGTATGTAGCCACCTCTCGTTCAGTTCTTGCAGTGTTCACTAGATGGCGGTACTTGTAGCTGACGGCATTAAGTATTACGCTAGCCACCGCCAGATCTAAAGGGTACAGCCATATCCATCCGTCCATCCGACCGTACATCCATCTATCCATCCGTCCATCTATCCATCCATCTATCCATCCAAAAGATGCAAGATGTT